CCCCCCCGGCACCCCCCCCCCCCCCCCCGCCTGTGAGCTGCCTCACGAGGGTCTCTGATGCCCTCACCTTCCCGTATGGCCGTGCAAGGGGCCCCTTCCTCGTGCTCCAGGCGGATTTCCTTCAGAGCAACGAGGTTCTCGGTCAGCTTGCTGCGTCCCTTGAAGACGGTGGCGTAAGTGCCCTGGGTGGGGAGAGAGAAAACACAAGCCACACAAACCATTTACCAGTGGGGCACAACACGGATAGAGTCCATGACATTTGGAGGAAGGATTATTTGAAGCTACAGGGCCAAGTCTGAAGTCCACAGAAAGAGTTAGGTCTAAAACCAGCTAGATATTGAAGAAATTTGCCTAGAATCTGCCCTTCGCACTTCAGGCTGCCCTTCTAACTTAATTTAAATCCTTACAGGGGTTTCACAGTCTACTCACCTCTCCCAGTTTGTCCAGTTTAACATAGGTTTCCAGCTTCCCAAACCCAATATCTGACTGTAAGAGAGAAAGGAAAACATCACTGGGAGGGATCTCACCCCGGGATGGCTTCACCTCCGGGAGGAAGGTTAAGGATGCTGGTAAGAAAAACAGCTTTGGGGGCAGATCAATGAGGAAAGGTGTTTGCATGCAGCAGCCCAGCTGATCTAGGTACACAAGTCCATTCCTTTCCTGGAGAAGCCGTGCAGGTGGCCAGGCAAATCATCAGAAAACCTTCCCAAGAGATGGAGGGACCTGCACCCTGCACCCCAGCCTGCACAGCTGCCCTGTCCCGCTGCCACCAGCACAGTCCCCCTCTCCTCTCCCCCACCACCCCAACACGCCACCAGCAGCAGCCAAGTCCAAGAGGAGCTGTGATCTGCAAAGAGCCAAAGCCCTTTTTGCCCGAGAAGCCTTGTGGGATCCTGTTGCCACTGCCCAGCCCTTTTCTCAAACATTTTCCTACACCCTGGCTCTTTACTGTGCCTCCGCTGGTTTCTCTGTGTGCTGTTCAAATGGAGCGTGACAGGGACATTTTCCCATTTGGAACAGTAACTCTTTAACATATTGCTGAGACCTGCTCTCCTGTACCCAGTGAAAGAAGAGCAACCACTGCGAGGCCACAGACTTTGGCATCTCTCCCAGCTGTTTTCTGTGGGGACCAGAGACCCCTCCCGGGTCAGACACCCCTGTGGGCCAGGGCAGGGGATGGTTCCCCGCACAACAGACCCCAACGCCCAGAGCAAATAATTGCTCCTCAAGCTTAATAAACCGCTGCTGTTCTCCCACAAGAGACTGACTCCAGCCCAGCAAAAGCCCCCCCCGTCCATCAGCGCTGCCCCCTGCCCCGAGCCAAGGGCTCATGCCATGCTGCTCGCCGTCAGCAGATGGAGCAGGATGGACAGCTGTCAATCAGCAGATGGAGCAGGATGGACAGCTAGCTGTCAGTCACGTTTTTTAATTCCATTTTGGCTTCCCCAAACTCTCTGTGTACCCCGGTGTCCTAAGCAGGGAAGTGAGGTGGCTGCTGCAACCCGAGGTGCTGCAGACCTCCAGAGCCACACCGCGAGTTTAGCAGGAGCATGTCTTATTCATGGCGGGGACCATGAATATTAATGGCACACTGCTCTCGGCTGTGTCTATTCTATTGATTTGACACAACAGGCAGGTAAATGCAAGATTTCCTTTTCTCCTCCCTCCCCCTGAACGGGCATGCCAGATCTGAAGATGCCTGCTGAGACCTCGCTGGTGTATCCGCACAGCCCTGAGCACTCCTGGGCAGTGGGACATAGCCTTGCACGTTTGTAAACAGGGCACTGGTTTTTGCCCCTACACATGCTGATGCTCTGCAGTGAAGAAACTGAAGTGCCAACACTAACGCAAAGACTAATTCATTATTTATCAGCATTTGCATTTCAACTCGCAGAGGCTCCGGCACTTGCTAAACCACAGGAGGCTTTCCACCTCCTCCCGTTTGGAAGGAGTCAGGCCAAGAGGAACATCGGGGATGCGCAGAGGTGAGTGAAGGAGTGTGCAGATGTGCATGTGTGGGAGTGAGATGCCGATGTGTGCGGGGCAGGGAACGCGTGCTGCTGGGAGCGCGCAGAGAGGGATTTGCATGGGCAGGGGTCTCCGTGGCACACGGGCTATGAGGGAGCTTGCAAAGCAGGGCATGACTGCGTGGGTGCGTGGCAACCGGCACAGGCGTCTGGTGGCCGGCACTTGTAGGCACGAAGTGAGATGTTGTGCCTGGGGAGACTTACGAGGGACGCCCGCCGGGACATCCTGCTGAGGGGCTTGGGGAACTCCGGGCTCTCCATCTGCAGCTTCTGCAAGAACTCGGGGGGCAGGCGGATGTCCATGGGCAGGGAGAGACGCTTGCTGACGTCCTGCAGAGAGGGCCAGAAGAGTGGGTGATGAATGCACCTGAGGAAAGGGCTGTACAGAGACATTCAAGGGCAAGTGCTCTCTAGCCAGAGCTGGCACTGCAAAGCAGGACTTGCCTCCATGGAGAAGCGGCGCTGGTTGCTGTTGCGGTAGCGCACGGCCATCGGGGACTGGCCCTCCACCTCGGAGGGGGAGATGGGGCTGGTGTCCGCTCGGAAGTCCCTGCCCAGGTGTCCCAGCTGCAGGTGCCCTTGAGCCAGGTCTGAGGACAAAGAGAAGAGACAGTGAGCAGTGCAAAGCCTCCAGGCGCTTCCTTTGAAGAGAGTGAGAGCAGGACAAGGAGGTCCAGAGACGCTCTGGGGCCATGGGCAAGCCTTCTTCCTTCTTGACATCCAGGAGGCAGAGGGAATACCTGCTCTTTGCTCCAAAATCCTGGTGCACTGCCACCCACACAGCTCTGCTCTGCGGCACCCCTAAAGGACCCTCACGTAGCCCCCTGCAACGAAGGTCCCTTTTGACAGAGGTTTTGCACAGGTGACTCTCCTTCTTAACTTCCCAGCTCTATCCTTGTTAACATCACATTAGAGAAAACTTGGTTTGCACTTTGGGAACACCTAGACGCCTGACCATGGCCCTGGATTCCTCTGTGCGAGGTCTGTACAAAAGCAAAACCGAGAGTCCTGCCTCTGAGGAGCTTACAAGCACATGCACCTAATTTGCCTCAGGAACGACCAAAACCAACAGACATCGGGGTATTCGCCTCCAAGGATGTGACTGTTTCTCAGAAGCTGTTTGGGATTAAAGGCTGCAGAGTCACTTAGTGCAAAACAAACCACTCCAGGCTTTTCTGCCCCAACTCGCTGCCCTTAGCCAGATACGCAGTGCCGAGAAGAAGAAAAGCTCTCTTGAAAACCAAAGGAGCTCAGAAAAATAACTCTTCTCTTGGGACTCCAGGTGTGAAGCCTCACCGAGCCCAAGAAACCCTGCACGGAGCAAGAAATCAGAACAAAATAAGCCATTGAGCTCCCTCTGGTCTCCAGTTTGAGGCTTGCACTTAAACCTCCTCCCTCTGTAATTAACAGCTGGTTGGCAGGAATATTCTGGCACACATAGACCTTGCCAGCAGCACAGCAAAGCCCCAACGATGTCAAGGCAGGTCGCCTGGACCCCAGAGAAGTGGATCTCCCTGATTCATGAGGGGTTGTTCAGGAGGAGGCAGCGCTAACTGGGTGTGCTGGGAGAGAGGAGAACCACCTCCCCAAGGCAGTTCACCTCTGGAAAGGTGTGGGGCCAAGCAGCAATGACCGTTTTGTCCCCTTCCCAGTGGCCACACGGCTCTCTCCCTTCCTGTCTAAACTTTGCAGCTACCCTCCAAGTCACCAAGAGCCCCGCCGCAGAGCACCAGCGGCCTCCACGGATCCAAGCACCCCGCAGCCACTTCCCCAGAGCAAGGAGGAACGCTGCAGGAGGGAAACTCCCCAGAGAGGTCCTGTAACATCCCCAGCTCAGCCATGCCCCTCGCCGAGCCCCTTCCCCGAGCTGCACACAGACAATCCCCTGCTCTGCCGAACGCGGATCTCCGCGTGCTGACCCCACCGCGCTCAGGCAGCCAGCGATGATCTCATTGCTGAAGAACGGGGTGCCGAGCAGGGCTGGGACCTGGCTGCAGTTTGCTCATCTGACGGATGAGAGGTGGCAGGCAAGTGACCTGGGAAAAGATGCGGTTTCGTGCCACAGTCGCCGAGGGAGCAGGGGACCTGGATGCTAAGGGATGCAGGGTGTCCTTGCCGACAGCCCGCACCTAAGGGTGGGTTCAGCCCACGCCTCTGGGCTTGGGAGCATCTGAAACAGTGCCAGGAGGTTTTAAGCAGAGAGGCAAGATCAAGGCACAGTCGCCCCTTCTCCCAGCACCATGGTGGGACTCTGGTCCCCGTCCCTTTCTGGCCATCTGTCTGTGCAGGGACAGTTAGGAAAATTACCCTGAATTAACCACAGGTGTGAAATGAATGTGGATCAACTAAGCCGGATCAAATCTTTTTAACTTTCTCAATTCCTAAGCAAATTATCAGAAGCAAACCCCATGCAAAACCAAAGGTCATTTAAAACCTGACTAAACAGAGTTCATCTAATCCACTTTAAATGATAGTTTGGGTGAGTTTGTGCTGATTCCCAGCGGTAAGCAAGCCCAAAGCCTTGGTAGAAGATGCAGCCTGCCCTGAAAGGTGCAGACCAGCAGCACTGCCTCTCTGAACCAGCAACCCACTGGGTAGGTTAGTGTCAATCTTGCCTCTTCTACAAGAGCATCAGATGTAAAGCCAGAGGTAAATTCTGAACATTCTGGCACACACGAAGGGGAACGGGATATGCAAAAGATGTGAACTACCATAGGATGGGAAAAGCACGTGAAAATACACAGAAGACTCGCTGGGGTTGCTCCGGGCTTGGAGGATCTTGCCGGGTGCTTGCGGGAGGGGACGCGAAGCCGTGGGCGTGTAAACTTGAGGAGGGCCTGTTCGATTCTGCTCGGCATTTCATGTGGATTACGGTGAGCCCTGACACTCTGCAAATAATGAGGCTGCATGGGATATCAAAGCAAATTAAAGTGAGACCGCAGGCCTGCCTTTGACGAGCCTCCCGCCTTTTTTTATAAATATATTTAAACACTGCCTCTGCCAAAACAAGCTTTGATCTCACAAGGAAAGGGGCCAGAACCCTTCACTGCTTGCCTGACTTATAACTTTTAATTACTTTGCTAAGTGTGAACTCTCCTCTCAAAGCTCTGTTGCACTCATGAGGCAGGGCTGCACTCAGATCTTGGATTATTCATCCTCCTTCCTCCCCCTCAACACCACTTCTTTGAGGCCTTGCACAACGAAGGGCAGCTCTGGCTCTGATTTACATCATTGCAAATCAGGGACACCAAGACCTGATACCTCTGAAAATCTGGAATAATGGAGAGGAATGTGTGACAGGGGAAGCCCAGGAGGAAAGGAAGGAGCCTCCCTGCCTTCAGCTGTAACGGGAGGCTGGAGCAGCCATGGAGGAGGTTGCCCATCTCCAAGGATGTGGAGATGGTCTTTTGTCAGGGATGTCAGATATTGCACAAAGGACAGTCTCCTTCACCGGCTGCCATGGCCGAGAACAGGTTGTGCTGCCCTGGGGAGGGATGTGCGGGGGGTGCAGGGGCAAGGAAAGGCTCCGAGGAAATTGAGCTCTGACCACAGGCACCCCCTTTCCCTCTCTGCATGGTCAGACTCTGCCAAGGTGACATTGCCATGGACGGGATGTGTCCAGGCTGGAAAGCTGTTTGCTTTTCCATTTCTCAGCTCTGCCTCCCTCCAGCCTCGCTTTATCAGCCTCTGTGGGTGAGGTCACGAGAATTCCGGGATGGAGGGGACGGAGCTGGGAATTTCCCACCGCACCACTACCCCCTTTCCCTCTCTGCATGGTCAGACTCTGCCAAGGTGACATTGCCATGGACGGGATGTGTCCAGGCTGGAAAGCTGTTTGCTTTTCCATTTCTCAGCTCTGCCTCCCTCCAGCCTCGCTTTATCAGCCTCTGTGGGTGAGGTCACGAGAATTCCGGGATGGAGGGGACGGAGCTGGGAATTTCCCACCGCACCACTGACAGACGAGGCAGGTTTGCAGCCACAAGAAGGCCTTGCCTTGTCCCATTGACGGAGTCAGAGCTGCTCTGCACATGCTCTTGGAGCATCTCATGAGAAGGCCTTCTGGCCTCTGCATCACCCTCCTCCCCAAGGACAGACAGAGGCACTCGCAGCCACCAGAGTGTGGGATTTGCAGACTGCCATGACCTGCGAATGCTGATACCCTGTGATTTCTGATGCCGAAAGGAAAAATAAAAACTGCAAGCAATTACGCTGGGGAGCGGTGTGAGGTGATGAAAAAAAAAAAAACAACCTGATGTGCTGATCTCTGCTGTGATTAACAGTCTTTTCTGGAGCAAGTGATCACAGTGCCTGAGCTGTCACGGGTCATCCGCTCACCAGGAGAGGAAAGATGAGTGCAGGCAAGGCTGCTGGCCAGGCAGAGACAGCCCCAGGGGCACAGCCAGAGACCCGGAGCAAGGAAGGGGAAACCTGAAGCAAAGCTTTTCCCTTTGTCCTGGAGAAGAGGAGCAGCACAAGAGCGAGTGCCATGGCTCTAGTCTCAACTCTGATACCAAACTGGGAACGGTGCAGAGGAGAGCAGGGGAGGGGGCAGCGGTGGCAGGGGGTGAGGATGAGCCGCATCCAGGCAGGGAGGGAGGTACTGACTCAGGGTGGGGGACTGGCCTCAGGGTGTCTTGTGGCAGCGCATGAGGAGCTGTGCCCCATGGGATGGTGCAGGCAGACCCCACGCCCCAACGCGTTCCTGGATCCAGGCAAGGGGGTCTCCTAACTGTACCATGTCACGGCCTAGTACTGGTCCAGCCTCTCCCCGTGGGTTGGGAACATCCTCGATCCTGGCCTCAGGCTCAGACTGCTCTGACTTTGCTCTTGCTCTCTCCTGGCTACCTCAGGAGCAAGATCAGAAGCCGGGGGGTGGGGGGATAGGCAGGTGCTGCACGCACTGGTTTATCATTCAAGGGCAAAGGAAGAACCGTGACCGAAGCTTCGTTAAGGCAGAAGAACGAGAAAATTGCTTCTCTGACAAAGCCTCACTTTGCACGGCCGAGATAACGAGCCCAGGCTCAGACATCCCAGAGCAGAGTCCCCCAAGGAAGGCAACAGCAGCAGCTGTCAGTGCCCAGGACTTTCTTAGCCTTGTACCATTTTATCCCCACAGCTTCTGCACATCTAATTAAGGGCTCTAGTCTAATTATAGCCCTTACTGCTTGTTAGGATGTGAGGGGAGGTGTGTATGTGGGGCAGCGGGGATGGAGGCCAGGAAGGGACGCTGTTCAGGGTAGCCCGGGTGTCTGAAGGGATAAGAGGAGCATCAGAAGCTGCAGGAGTGAGGAAAGCCAGCTCTAAATTAGGTTACTGCATCTCTTCTTTCGAGCACGTTAGCTGGCAAAGAGACAATCCCTTCCTGCTGGGGCAGATGCAAGTGCCAGGCAATTACATCACAGCCTCAGCCCCTGCTTGCAGCAAGTGTTTCTGGCAATTGTGGCTGCAGGGTGAGGGGAAAAAGAACTTGAACGTGACTTGAGTGGAGCTGAGGGCACGGGCACATGAACGGGCTGGCCTGGGGCAAAGTGAGTTGGTTTTGGTAGGAGGCAGCAGCAAACGCGTGACGCGATCACCGGGAGCGGTGCAGCCCTGCACCCGCAGCAGCGAATTTACCCCGGGATGAATGAAGTCTGACTTTATCAGGTTTCCAAACGCCTGCCTGCTTGTTGGTACACGGCTGCCTTGGCGCGATCTGCTCCTGGTTTCTGCCTTGAGCATCGCCTCTCCCTTGATATGCCCATCGCCGAGACAGCGGAGCCTGCCCCAGCCTGCAGAGAGGTGGCTGCTCTGCTTCCAGAAGGGATGTGCCCGCTCTGCTCACGGAGGCATTAACCCTAAACCAATCTGGAACCTTGAAAACTGCACCCTCGGAGAAGGCTGTGGGTCCAGGAGCAAAGGATGGTTCAGCAAGCCCCAAATGCTCCCCTGAATAGACTGAGTGTCCCCTTTAATTGGTGGAAGCGTCCCTGGAGAGGACTCAACCACCACTGTCACCTCGGGGCAGGCTGGAGTTGTCACACTTTCCCACTCCCTCCCTTTACCACATTCCGTTTTGTGCAAATACCTTTCCCCTCCTATCAGGCTGTCCTTATGCAAGCACAAATCTCTCTCCAGATCAGATTTAATGACAAGGTGTCATTAACCCTGTTGGATACATGGGGAAAGCAACACAGAAAGGGGCAGTAACTTTCCACATGTCAACACACCCAGGGAAAGGCCGGGGGGGCTGGAGTGGAGATGTTTGCTGCCAGCACTGACCCCACATGCTCCTGACCAGCCCCAGCACCACGGCAGGGGCCTGGGAAGCTCCTTACCTTCATTCCTCCGGTTGTTGAGCTGGTTGAACTGCTCCGTGAACTCTGTCAGCGACTCCTCGATGGTCTCTGTCCGAGGAACCGAGAGTGAAAACCTCCGCTTGAAGTTTTTCATCTTGTTCATTTTATCTTGCGCTGCGAGGGACAGCAGAGCCCTGCGGGGAAGGGGAGACATCAGGCTGACAGGGCTGGATGATGCAAGGGACAGTCCCCAAGTCCCCCAGATCCTTCTCTTTGGGGCTGGCAGCACCCCAACCCGAATTTCTCCTTCCTGCTGGGGGGGCTGCAGGGGTCCCCAGGGACATCCCCTCCTCTGAGGTACAGCTGCTGCGTCAGAGCAAAAGAGGAGCTGCGTGGTCTCCAGGGGAATTAGGTTCCTCTTTAGGAGCTGACTGTGGTCAAGAGGTGCAGGGGGCTTTTTCTGCTCTAGTTATCAGAGACGAGCCCAGAGCAGGCCTGAATCACACGTATCAATGCAGGCTGTGCCTTACAGCATCCTTGGAAACTCCAGGGAAAAGCAGGGTAGAAATGGAAGGAAAGCATGTAAGAGCAAACAGTGATGGAAAAGATTTAATGCCACATTCCTCCCTGTACAAGGAGGCACCTCTCCCCTGGCAGTCTGGTCTCTGCACAAAGACTTCCTCAGCCAGCAGCAAAATGCTGAGCAAAGCCAGTCCTGGCCGGGGGGATCCCCGAGAGCTACAGAGAGGGGAGATGCTCCCAGCTCCCAGCTTGCTCACAAGCTCCAGTGACTCATCCCGTAGAATCGCCTTAGCCAGGGATTGGATTAAAGCAATAAAACCCTTAAAGGAAGAAAACCCTCACGGGGCATATGGTGAAGCACACTGCATCTGAGCAGCCGCTCGGGAAGGCTGAGGGAGCTCGCTCTGGGTGTCCCAGAGTCGTGCACCCCTTTGCCTTTCTGACTTTGGCTCTTGCCAGGCCTGTCCGTAGCTCGGCGGCGTGGACGGGACCCAACTGCAAGAGCTGTTCTGTGCGTGGTTTGGTCCTTAGCACCAGCCCTGCTGCACTCAGGTGTTATTCCTCCTCCTGCTGAGCACAGATTGAGCAAACAGCCATCACTCCCTGACGCCTGGACCTGCAGACATCAGCGTCTCACTCCCAGCCAGCCACAGCTCTGCCCCTTCCAGTCCCAGGCCTGAGGAGGTTTGGGTCTGTCCCTCTCCCCTTTCCGATCTGATGAGCACAGGGATGCTCCTCCACCAGCCTTTACCACCTCAACTCTCCAGCTCATCTGGTGGGGGATTTTCCGTTAACAGCACCGGAATCCTTCAACGTTCCTCTCACTCATCAACCCAAGGTGGGATCTTAAGGGAAAAATCACCCCTCTGTGCCCAACAGGCACCAAAAGTTACACCGAGCAGTTCTCTCCTGCACCGACACACATGTCCTGCGGCTTCTGCACCCTGGAGCAGGTCCATGCCCCTTACTCCTGGGTGTCCATGCAACAGCCTCTTCCCCCACTCCCTCCCAGCCCCCCCCCCCGGGGCTTATCAGCACAAACAAACGGGGATCACATTCCAGACTGATGCGATCAGACACAGCATCCGGGAGCTAATGCATCTCGTCGCCAGGACAACCGGAACACTTGGGTGGACATGCCTGCATCCGAAAGCTTAGAAGATTATCCTTCAGCAATACAAACACCCTATTTGCATGTCTGCCAGGCTCTGCAGTGAGGCATGGCACCCTGCTGTGGGTGCAACCCCCTGAAAATCCCTGGGATTCACCTGAATCCTGCACACTAACACCCCTCAACCATCCCCAACTCATCTCCCACCGTTAATGCCACAAAAAACCTAAAGCTGAAGGCTGGCCAGCAATGCTTCCGGGCTGGGGTATTTGGCCAGCGGTGGGAGGGGAGCTTGCAGGCTTCTTTGAGTTGCAAAACGAGGCAGGAGGATGCTAGACACATCCACTTCAGGCTTCAGACATTTAAATATTTTCTGGGCACTACAGAAACAAAGATGCTGGCACTACTGAATGCTGCATTAACGAAGCCACTCTGCTGGTGCTTCCCTCATGGCCAAGGATCGAGCCTCCCAGCAGCGCTGTTCCTTCTGAAGAGAAGGCAAAGCCTGACACTTGCTTTGGAGACCTTTTTTCCCAGCTCAAGGCTCTGATCTGGCTCCCTACCTTGCAACCCAAGCAAGTCTGAACCGAGGCGCTGCAGGCGTGTGGAAATGCTGTTAGTGTTGCACGCACTCGAGGAATTACACCAGCCTGAAGTGTTTTGCTCCAGCTGTGCATGCTGACAATGCTGAAGTGGTAGTAAAAGCTACAGAGGCTCCTGTGCTGGGCACTGGTTTGCTCTCAAAGAGGAATCAGGAGCTCAGGGGAACCTGTGATGCTCCCAGCAGGTACAAAACCAAAAGACAATCTTCCCACATAAGCCCCAGTGATTGTTATTTCAAATGAGAGCATAAGGGAATAGAAAAGATACTCATCATCTTCAGGTGAATGAGGAAGAGGATGCGGGGAAGGGGTCTTCTCCCTCCTCAGAATGTTGCAAATGGTTTAAGGCAAACATATAAACCATGTAAGGCTGACCAAAATCTGCTCCTGCAGTTCAAATCCTCCCCTCTCCCTGGCCTTGCTACCTACAGGAGTGCCCGCAGCTCCAGGCTGCTAAATATAAACCTGCTCAGAGAGGAAGTCGGGTGGGGGTAAAAATAGCACCGGCATCACTGCCTACCTCTGCTGCTATACACAGACCTGCCCTGGACTCCTCCTCTTTATGGCTCTGTGCAATTGTGGCTGGTTTTTGTTTTTTTCTTCCCAGCCGGACCCAGACCTACTTGGCATCTGTCGACAGAGTTCACATTAAAGTGTTTGTCGCTGGCATTTATAGGACTGTTCTCGTCCTCTGCCCTCCACTCCTCCTGGAGAAGAATTTGAGCGGCCGTTTGGACCCAGGTGGCCTAAAGCTGCGATTTGCCCCTCTCGTGCAAGCAGGGCATCCCACAGCCTGCGTGCTAAAAGACTGCAGCACATCTCGAAGTGAAGCATCCCTCCCCACACACCACCCTGGGCAGCGCCCCGGGGCTCCAGGGGCTTCATCCACCTTCTGGCTGCATTTCTTTGGAGAGAAGGCATCTCCTTTTACAGCTAAACCCTCTCCTCCACGCATGGATTTCAAAAGCAGAATTGCTAGCGACTGCCTCACCACGTTTCGCAGGAGCGCGCTGAAGGAAGCGGAGGCATTTATTGACTTTCGGAGAGAAAGTGACACTCGCTAGGCAAAGCAATGACATCACTTGTTTTACAGCCTGAAGGAGCTGGAAGGGAAATTAGAGCAGCCGCAGTCATCCCTGGGATGGGAGAAGCCGAGCGATTAACAACATGAAGAAACATGACGTTGCGTGGTAGGACACGACGAGAAGAAGCAGTCTAAAACGGCAATAAGGAATTTAGGCAGCAACAGGCAAAAATGAAACCACTCGAGTTGGAATTTGGCCAAGGAGCAGGGATTAAAGCCAGCAATTTGAATGATCTGCATTTACTGTAATCTAGTCAGATAGTAAATACTTGGCTAAAACACTTCAAAGAGCCCAAAGCTCAATCCTGTCAGGAAAGCTCGTCACAAGATCAAGGCAAGATGTTAACGATCTTTTAAACACTGCACCCAAAGCCCTATTTGCTGCTCTAGCAGTAACCATGCTCACTATTTTCCAGCAAACTATTCCTGTAGGCATTCAGGCTGTGACTATCCACACGAATCTCTCTTGCATTTGTACGGCAAAGCCTGCTGGCTCTCCGCTGTGGAGTTCAAGAGACAGGTATTTTAGGCACGGACAAGCCATCATCAGTGTATGAAACTGTCCCCTTTCTCCTCCGGCATATTGCAGGTGCTCAGAAGCAAGGCTTTCAAGCAATAATCTCTTTATTGCTTTCTGAAAACGGCAAGTGGTTCCATTTTTTTCCCTGCCATTTTAACAGACTCCTGCTCCTGCTTCCCAGCTGAAAGGATGGAAAGTTTGAAGGAAATAGTATGCTTGCTTATTTTTTTTTTTTTAAATCCCCAGAGAGATTAACAGTTGTGTTTACAAGGCAAAATGAACAGTCCTATTCAGCAGTTACGGCTCATGCTTGTAGCTGTTAGGTAGCGCTGATTCACTCCTGCAAGTATCAGAGAAAACGGCGAATTCTGCTCGTAGAGCCATATTTGCTCTGCAAACACAGCTATCACGCAACGCTGCGTGTGGCTACGGGGCTAAACAAACATCGCGGCGAGGCACCCGTTGCATACGTGCCTCTTGCCTCTCCTCACATGGCAAGGCATGAAGACCAAAGTCAGACCCAACAAAAGCTCACCAGCGAAGCCCACGTGCCCAGCAGCCCTCTCCACGGCCAGCGGCAGGTCTGGTTTGCCTACCTGACGGGCTCCCTCCCAGGCTCCAGCGCAGAGGAAGGGTAGGGAAAAGTAGCACGAGTTGCCAAGGCGGCTGCGTGCCGGCGATGGGAGAGACATCAGCCCCTCCGTGGTGCACATTCCTGCGCAAACAGGAGCTCAGTGCAAGCTGGATTTCTCCTTCGCTACGAATTTCCCTGGCACGGCCAGCATCGGGTCCTCAGGATATGTAAGGAGGGGGACAGGGAGAGATTTGGGGCTGTTTTGGGGAGCCAGAGGGAAGTTACGGCACGCTGACTCTAACACAACCAGGGGCCATGCTGAATTTTCTGCAGCAGCTGGGAATCCTAGGAGGGCAAGGTCGGACCGGCAGGGAAGGATATCAGCCCCCGACCACCAAATGAACATCTCCCCAGCTGCTCAGCTGTCGGCATGGAATCCTCCCTGGGGTAACAAGCTCCCAGCCGCTCCCTTCCCATCAGAGATGCTGCAAAAGCACCGTCTGGGTGCCTGGATAGATTAGTTGAGATGGACAGAGGCTGCTCTGAGCTGCAGCAAGAACCGGTGTGGCCCTGCAGAGCTCCCCCTGCCCATCACCCAGAGTAGTTTGCACATTTAGTCTCCCCCAAAAAGGGGAGTAATGATGGGAAAGAGCAAGGCCACCTCTCCTACCCCCACATTTGCCTCCCGTCGCTCAGCTCTGCTCTTCAGGGGGGCTGACATTTCCCTTCTACACAGGGAGCAAAGCCCCT